GGCATAGAACAGGCAAAGAGTGGTGGTGATGGTGGCGACACAGAGAGAGGCAGTGGTCCAGATTAGGCCCCAGTGCTTCTTCTCCATATTGAACTGGAGAGACTGTTATTGGTTTGACTTTGAAAGCATTTGATTGAGAAAATTGGAGGTTTTTTACAGTATGGAGTGGGATTTCAAGCCTTAACGAACATATGCTGCAGTTTTAATTTGAGAATTGGCTTAAGGAGATGTTAGTCTGTCTTTCTAGTGTGTGTGTGTTGGGCGGGGAGACAGGTATGGAGTTCTATCTCATAGGCACAGAAGTGATGGAAGTGAAATCTTTTCCCTGACTTGTGAGGCAGGGCAGGAATAGGGGAAGATTTTCTTGCAGCAGTGCCTCATCAGGGAGGAGACATCCATCCCCAACCCACCCAGCTGCCATTCATAATTCACCAATCCCAACTGATTTTAGTTTTACATTACTTTCATCAATAGATTATGATACCGTGCCAATTAGAACCAGCTTGTGTCATATCCAATAAATTGGGATCTACCAGAAAGATCTTTTTGATGCATGATGCATGGGACAGCAACGTGTAGCTGTGATAGTGTGTTTCATATATTCTATAACAAAACTTGTGTTTTCCAGTTACTTCATAAATAATTTATTGGGCTAAGAACAAAAACCAAATTGGTTATCCAGAAATCAAAAACAACCATAGCTTTTCACGCAGGATTAACTAATCGGAAAGCAGGAAACCGTAGAAAGAACAGAAGACAAAAAAGGTATTTTGAAAAGGAGGAAAAGAAAGCAAGCTCATGTATCTCTGTAGACTCATACCTAAATCATTGATACAAACATCTTGAGATATTCCATTCCTTGAGATCTTCTCTAGCAATGTTAAAGGATCGGCTTGACTGGTTTTATCCAATTGAAAGCACTGACAAATCAAAAGACTTCTCTTGTCAAGTAAATGAGCTCATGTTAAAGAAGTGCAGACAGTGTTCTAATCCATAATATCAAAACTGAAATACCTTGTAAACTTCTGCAGTTGAACATGCCTGTGGGGGCTTTATGAGAACCATTGGCTTATCCAAAGGTACTAGTGAAGGAATATCTTGAACAATCTGGACAACAAGAGCAAAACTTCAGCAAGATCAGAAACTACAGAGAAGAATTGCATTTCTAGATGTGCAAGCACATTAGGAGTATGCATATATAACTGCAGATGGGTGTGCACATCCTTCTAACTGTAACTAAGAGAAATTATTTTAAGTGATTCATATTGTTTTGTCAGGAAAAGGCTAGCAAGTTCCCCCAATGGCAAACTGACTTTGAAATAATTTCCTCCAGGAAAGATCTTTATTACTAATCCAAACATTTGTGTAATCCTGTATGCATGATACTCACCTCAACTAAGCTTTAACTTCTCAATAGGTGAGGTTGGCCACATGAATTTTTTCTCCATCATTCTGCCTTGTGTAGAAGAAAATCTTCCATGAGATGCTCAGAAGCCTAAAACTAGTTTTGTTGGTAGTTGGTGCCTAACTAGGGGCATAACTTCAAAGATGTTATTGTCATAACACCTATGCATGATATAACATCACAACAAAAGGATACCAATCAGAAAATGCCACCTAAACAGCCCCCCTGGTCTTCCAGACTAAACCAAACCAGCCCTCAGTCCTCCAGGGAGGGGAGAGTTTGCAACCATACTCATGAATCATAGCAAAAGCAATATATAAAAAGAGGAATTTAGCTCTCTCAAAAGAGTGAGGGAAATCTCAATCACGTCCATAACTGAATTATTGCCCTACGTCTGGAATTGAGAGCATGATAGAAACATGAAGTGGAATAAAGAATACTTTGACTTACTTGACAAAGCAAAATTCATACATACCTCACCACGACCAGTACAGTAGGCTGCTCCATGAGAAAAAAAGAAGGGGATATCTGAACCAATCTCACTTGACCATTCTTGGAGCTCCTTCTCAGTAGCAAGACAGCCACAAAATTGATTTGCGGCCCACAGGGCAGTTGCAGCATTGCTGCTCCCACCACCAAGCCCTGCCCCAGTGGGCACTTTTTTGTCTAAATGAATCTTCCAACAAAATTCAAAATAAGAAAATTTACTATTACTATTCAATTACTAAGTTTTATCAAGAAATAGATCTTCAACACTAACCAATAGCACTTCTTACCCAAAAGAAGTTGTCAGTGCCGGTCTTTTTCCTGTAAAGATTAAGGGCTTTAATGATCTGTATGAAGAAAATCATGAGAAAATAAGTTCACAAGCATATCAGAAATCAATAAAACAACAAAAACACTATTATTTATGCCTTACCAAATTATCTTCAGTAAGGGGCACACCAGACACATTGGTTGATAATCGATCAATACCTTTTGATGGCGACAGAGAGAATTTGATCACATCTCCTAGACTAATCACCTGAAGGAGCAAAAGGGGCCAAATTATGAATTTTTGAAGATTCAACTGATATATCAAACTAAAACTAAAGTTAGCAATAAACCAAATCAATATGAATCCTTTTTACGATGAACTTGTATAAACTGGTGTCCATAGCTCTAAAAAGAAGGCTAAAGGCAAACACTGCTTAAATTTGGACAAGCTTACATGAAATAGAGAAGCCAAATCATGATACCCATCTTCTCTCTTACTGGTTATTCTCAAGAAAACATTAACCTACACCAAATAGCAATACCACAATGCACATAATAAATTAAGAAAACAAAACAAACCCAATTATCATAAAAGTCAAGCACAAGCAAAGCATGAGAATACTCAAAAAACAAACCTTGCAAGGTGAGAAAAGGGTGAGCCTTGAATCAAACTAAAACTAAAGTTAGCAATAAAAAAAGCCAAATCAATATGAATCCTTTTTACGATTAACTTGTATAAACTGGTGTCCATAGCTCTAAAAAGAAGGCTAAAGGCAAACACTGCTTAAATTTGGACAAGCTTACATGAAATAGAGAAGCCAAATCATGATACCCATCTTCTCTCTTACTGGTTATTCTCAAGAAAACATTAACCTACACCAAATAGCAATATCACAATGCACATAAATAAATTAAGAAAACAAAACAAACCCAATTATCATAAAAGTCAAGCACAAGCAAAGCATGAGAATACTCAAAAAACAAACCTTGCAAGGTGAGAAAAGGGTGAGCCTTGAGAGAGGAGCCTGTTTATCCACCTCATCAGCCAAGTTGTTTATCCTTCCATCAGGATCATACACTAGCTAAATTAACCCCACCAACCAAGAAAATCAAAATAAAAAACCAAAAAGTTCAAAACTTGAACTCAAAGCATAAACAACAAACTATGGTAAAATGAAAACAAAAACAAATAAAACAACCTCAAAGAACCCAAGAAAAAGTTCAAAACTTTGAACTCAAAATTCAAAAAACAAAGAAATTTAAGCCAAAAGTATACACCTCTACTTTCTTTCCTGTGGCTTTAACAACTGGGGTCTTTGGAAATTGAAGTTGTTGGCAAAAAGAAAAAGGCCCACGGGGCTTAAACGAAGAGATATTGCTTTTACTTGATAGATTGCAAGATGGTTGGAAATGAAAAGTATTGCAAAGAAGATGAGAAGAAGCCATGGATGCTTGTGTTTGCTCTAGCTGCTGCTATCACAGGCGCATGGATTCAGTGTTAAAACAGTGAAATTCAAGCTCCAATTTAATAGTGTTTGGTATGACTGCCGAGCATAATACCGAGGTGTGTCTCTTGCATAGAATGTTCATAAATGTCTTTGGTTGGCGTCTTGTGTGGACTTTTTTTTAATTAACATAAATGTTTCTATCAATTTATATATATTTTAACTAATTTTATAAAATTTAAAATTAATAATTATATAAATTTGTACTGATTATTATATAAATAATTACAAGTCTCAAATCTAAAATTATAAAAGCAACAAACTTTTTAATCTCAAATTTTTATATCACCTCCTACCAACAAATTTTTCTTGCGTGGAATTTTTTATTTTTTATTATTTACGTGGGGTGTTTAGGTCAGCTTGCGTGCACCATGACTAATCCTCATGGCCCACTGAATACCCTGCAAACCCAGTAGGCATGTAAGGCGCCGCGAGGATGACAGACGTGCACGCCAGGGCTCGAACCCAGGTGCAATAAAAGAAGACAAGCCCCTTCCACCGCTAGACCAATCCCTAAAATTTTTCTATTGTTGGGACAAGGAGAGAGACATCAGTCGTGAAACATGAGCGGAGGACGATGATTAATTAATGCAAAAACCATGCGTTTAATTCCTTCAAAAACTAAATTTGTTTATAATTTATTAATTTTTCCTTAAATTTTTTAATTTAATATTTTTAAAAAATAAAATTAAGAAAACAAGACTTTTATCTCACGAGTAAGATGAGGAAATTTGGTTGTGAAAAGAAAAATATTTTTGAAAGAAAAAACTAATAATTCATGATGGTCAAGACCAATTAAGAAATTATTTACTAGAGAAATTAATTATTTAATTCTAATAAAGTACAAATCATAATTAACTTCGTTTCTTTTTCATGGATTTTTAGTCTCTTAGATAGGTTCATCCAAATTTCAATTAGGAATAGATTATAATTTAATCTCTATATTTTATTTTACTCTTTGTTTTGTGTATTTTTGGTTTTAATAATCAAAAGTTACTTCCTTTATAAAAGTTGATGATAGTTAAAAATAAAAAATAAAAAAATACATGAATTATCCTTTTAAATTCATTTTGTTTGAAGTAAGTGAGATTATAAATTTTGATTTGAAATAAATAACGTTTTAAGATTGTGAAAAAGCAACATAATAATTAAGTGACAAACAAATATGAAAATTATAGGGATTCAATATTATTTTTTTAAATCAAAAGAATTAACTTGACTAAAAATTCAGTGATTGCATAATAATTTACTATCAAATCAGCATTGTTTCTATTTTAAGTGCATGTTTTAAAATCTTTCCATTGAAGCCCCTATTGGTATTGCATTTTAGATAGGGACTAGAAAAAACTTTTAAAAAAATGATTTTTGTTTAAAATTAATTTTTTTGATGTTGCTATATCGAAAATTATTTTTTTAAATAAAAAATATATTATTTTAATTTATTTTTAAATAAAAAATATTTTAAAATATACAATGTATGATTGTACATATATACAAGATGCACAACGCTAGTTGGCATGCATAAACCTCTCTCCCCCTCAATCCTATCCAGCAGGGGTGATAAAACAAAAAAAAGTTGGATTAACAATATATATATATATATACGAGCCGGTTTAGTTTGCATAATTTCGAAGTTCTTAAGCCAAACACAACCTGAACAAATATATACATATTAGAAAGGCAAACAATATGAACGGTCTTTTCTTTTTGTTTTTTAGAAACCCTAATTCCTTCTCACCTCCTGCAACCAGTCAGCCACCCTAAACCATAGTGTCTCCTCTCTCGTAATCTTTCCCCTCCAGTCTTTCCTCTTCTCTTGTGCAAGTTGCGACCTCCCCTCTTTTGATCTCTTGTTTATGATTTTGGTCTCTCAAATGCCGTGCACTTCAATACTTATCAATTCAGAATTAGTTAATTTAATAGCTGTGTTATTTTTTTTTATTGAGAAAACTTTATTTTTTATAAAAATATATTTTATAGATCTAAATAAAGAGGTAAAATTTTAATTACTTTTGGTTCTTATAAAAGTTATATATCCTAACTCAAACTAGAGACTTGCTATATAAATTATAAATCCTTTAATATTACGTTATACCTATTGAAGATAATTGAACTAATTTGAATAAGGTAAAAAACTGAAATAAGTAAAAAATTAAAACAAATAAAAACCTGATTTACCTTTACCTATAAGTTACATGACCTGACAAAACCTAATTAAGATTTTTTTTTTAAATGTGTATTTTCTTTTAACCATAGATTTTTTAAAAATATTTTTTAGTTATTAATTTTTTTTAAAGTTCATTATATAAATACAAGATAAATATTTTACTTTTTTAATATGAGATTTGAAGCCTTTTAGTATATATATTTTATGTTCACAAGAAAAAAATTATATTTTTTTAATGTGGAATAAAATTTTTTTTTGATCTATATACTTTAACTTAAAAAAATAATATATTAACATAATATCTTTTCAATATAAAATAAAAAATCTTTTGAAATAATCTTTTAAACTTCATTATTTATAATATGTATAGCATATATTTACATTGATTGTTATTAACTTTTTTCATATAAAATATTAAAATTTTAAATATTTAAAAAAAAATCTAGTTGATTTGGATCAACCTATATAATTTAAAACCCCGCTTCTTGACCGGGTTAACCTTTAAATCGGATCTAATAACTATGATATACCTTCTCTCTTCTTTTGAAGTTTCCTAACCTTGAATTCTTAATTTTTTTTTGTTCAAAAAATATATGTAATATTAAATATATTGGGATGAAAATTGTTAAATCATGAAAAACTCAAATTATTTTGACATGTTTTTGTTTAAGAGCTAATTAATGTAAAATTGTGATTCGGTAGAATTTCAACTTGATTTCCTATCATCCATTTTGGTGCGAGAATAGATTTAACCTTTTGTTTTGTTTAATTTTAACATCTATTCATCCATCTTCAAAGTTTTGCAAACTATATTGTTAGATGCAAAAAAATCAGCAACGAAAATAAAGATTCAAATTCTAGAAAGAATCAAAACAAAAACAAGAAAAATAAAGGAATATAATGTGATTTTAAAACCTAACTCTTAATCACATGATAAAACAATTCTTAACGAATTTAAAATACAACTCGGAAAGCCAAAACCTAAGTGTGACAGAAACTCAGGTCGGTTTCTCCTTTGCCTTTCTCTTTGAAAAACGTTTCTCTTCCATGTTTGCTGATTTGTTTTGCTCCACATATACTCTCACTTGGAAATATAAAGTCCACGCTTCAGGAACTCATACTTGCCCTTTTTTTTTAGCAGCAGATCTTATAAGGAGGTGCCTGACAGCTTGGTCAAATGGGAAAATAACTTCGTCGACTTGGGCCATTTCACTCATGTACATCACACATTCTAATCATCGACAACTTCGTTTATATCAGCATTTACCATTTTAGTCTTGCTTGGGTGCATTGCTGTGATTTTTAAAGGGATGTCTTCAAGCTGCTGCCTTTTCTTTTCTTACGTTGTTCGCCTTGAGTTGGTTCCTCAATGTCTAAAAGTATAGTAGTCATACTGTATTATGACTACAGTGCTGCTTCTGTCACTTTCCATTTCCAGTTCTTCCGCTTTCTGTTTGACTATGCTGCCCGCAAAGATTTTGTTCTACTGCTATGAATACAAATGCATGAAACTAAACAAGTTATGGTTGATGGTTTTGTTGCCATTCCATGATGTTTTTTTTTTGTTTCCAATGGCCTTTACTCCATCTGATACTGTTATTTGGTTTTCTATCACTGCATAACACTCCTGTCAATTTGGCAAAGATGAGTTCCAGTTTCACACTTTGACTAAACTTTTATAATTGCAAAGATATGTAGATGAAAAAAATCACTGACAATCATTTTTTTTTACTCCCCATATAAGCCTACTTCTGTTCTTGCCATTCTTATACATCTTGTCTCCTCAAAGGCCTATAATTTGAACCTAGATAGGAGGATGCCTGCAATGCTTTTGCCCAACCTCACAAAACAGTTTTGCCAAAGCTTGGATTTTTTCAGGCTATAATTCTGATGAAAAGCTTAGGAAACCATTTATACATGCCTTCGGTTTCCTCGCATGCAGACTTACTGAACTCTCATGGCATGATCACCAAATCAGTGTTGTTCTTACAATACGATGGAATCCCTGGAAAGAAATTGTTGTGCCAATCCATTCCTCTGCTTCTGTTTCTTTTCTATAGAATCACAGCACACCCCACCACTCCATTGCAGGATGACTAACTCTCGACCTTTCACTCCATATACACTTCTGCGATGGAACCACCAGGCAGTCACAGCAAATGCTCCATCTCTTAAACCCATTGACACTTTCTTTTTCTATTCTTTGATCAACCCAGGTGTCCGGTGAGTGTATACATATCTTGATTAATTTTATAGGTTTTAAAAATAATAATTGTATAAATTTTTAATATTTTTAAAATTTATAAAATTCAAACTAATAACCTTTAAAAAATAAATCTAAAATTTCAGCTAATTTTTTTTCTTTAAATAAATCAGTATAAAAAAATGCTCCATCATATAATACCTTGATAGATAAACGTGTGGGATATTTAGAAAATGGTAAACGCCATCCAGTTCAGGAGGCTACACTAACAGCTTTCTGCCCCATTACATAATCGCTCCCAGTTCCAACTATCTCTCTCTTTTTTAACTTTTTTCTTTTTCTTTTTAATTTAAATCGAAATTAGTTCAGGTCGATTAATTGAATGCATTCGATTTTGATTGACATCGATAAATAAATTAAACAATTTTTTGTAACGTTTTCTTAATTAATATCACTTAATTGTTACTTAGTTTTCAAATAAATTAACATTTTGTCTTTATAATATTACTAGGGATTATTTTTTAGTAACCCTATATGAAATTTCTTTCTTAAATTTAATTGAAACACTCCCCCCTCATTTTGAAAGAAAGTTATTACATATAACTAAATTTATAATTTGTATTTACAGGTCAAATATTTTAATATAAATTTATCTCTCAAATTTTTAGTTTAATTTTTGGTTGTTATTAAATTATTTTATTTATTAAATCAAATAATTTTTAATTTATTTAATTCTATGCGTGTAGTAGCCAATATAATTTTTTTCTTAATTTTAAAAAGGACAGAAAAATAATTGTGCATTCATGTTAAATTTTTATCTAACCTGCGACGAGCACTTGCATATAAAAACTATTATATCATGGAAGAATAATGTTTATATATATATATATATATATATAGACACACACATAAAATAAGAGGTTATTTGAGAGAATAGTAGAGATTAATTTTTTAAATATTTTTTGTTTAAAAATATATTTAAATAATATTTTTTATATTTTTTTAAAATTAATTTTAATATTATTTCAAAATTTATTCAATCCCCCGTTTAGAACGAATGTGAAACGGGCATGGAGGAGCGAGATTAATAAGTTGCACGAGGAACAACATCCAATGAAGAAAAGAAATAGACGCAAGAGGTAGCCGTCTAACCTCTTGCATGAACATGGATTACCTCCACAAAGTACACAAACAAAAAGCATTTACTGTAACCAGTGATCAAGTGCTAAAGATTTGGGATTAAGGGGTTTGCTCTCTCTATAATCTTAAGTTCAAGTCCTTTGTTGCTCATATAATGGCCGCTGGAGGCTTACATGGTCGTTAACTTCAGGGCTCGTGTAATTAATCGTGGTACGCGCAAGCTGACCCGAATACCCACGTTAATCTAAAAAAAAGCATCTACTGTAGCCAAATGAAAAGTCAGCCACACTCGAAAATCAAATTTTGGAGCTTGCTTCTTGATGCTTGGTGCTGCATCATCCCCTTCTTAAACTCAAATTGTCAGCAAGGACGGCTCTTCAAATTCTCTCCCAACTCCCAACCTGCCATGATAATAATATCTGAGTTAAAAGGTCAAGATATATAGTCATCCTTCAAATCTTTAAAATACTAGAAATAGAGTTTGGAGTGATGGCCAGGACCGAGAGTAGAAATGCTTTATTGGAAACGACGAGAGAATACTATGAGAATTGCCCAGGTTGTAAGATTGATCGTCTCAATGAAGAGCAAAGAGGTGTCCCTTACAGAAACTTGTCCTATATTTGGATCGTCTCTCTCTGCACAGGTGCATCCATCCATGCACCTTCTTTCATTTCTTTGTAACATGTTTATTGTTTTACTCTTTGTTGTTTACTTATTCAGTTTTTCATATCCACCTTCACTCTGCTCTATGTTGCTCGTAAATCAGTTGTTTTCTTCCCAATTCTGGACTCAGTTTAGTCGTTTTAATCTTTAATCAACATGGGTTTTGCTTTGTGTTTATTGGTGTTTAACAATTTAGCATTAGATCACTTGGCTTGTGGTATGCGGGCAGATGGCAGATGGAATATGGCATGCATTCAATGAAATAATCAGGAAAAGCAAAAAAAAAAGTGTCTTATGAATAACATGAACTCTCAAAGAATCATGAAGTTGCCTCTCAGGGTTTCATCTTTTAAAGAGTTGAACCTGAACTAGTACAACTGTCCAAGTATATGATCATACCTTTCTGATTATTTCTTAATTCAAATTGGAAAATTTAATCAATTTTCTATTCCTGATAATAAAATTTTCAAGAAATAGTGGTTGCTTTTTGCTTTTGTAGTTGATTGCCATTAGGACTTGACTAGTTTGGCTTTTCCTGTTACTGTTTCTGCAGTGTACTCAATTCTTTATCATGCAGTTTAAGATTGATGATATTGACATGTGAAGTTAACAGGGATTAATTTCTTCTGTCGATGTCTATTATGGATTTTTAAGCGATCCCTATTCTTAAAAATCTTTATTCCAAATCTCTGTTCTTGTTCTTTTTTAAAGTAATCTCTTGGGGTTGCCAAGCCAAATATTTGTCAATTAACCTCTATAACACTGCTATCTTTTTTTGTCAGCTTTGCCAATATCTTCACTGTTCCCATTCATTTACTTCATGGTATGTAACATATCAGTTAAAATTCATGCTTATGTCTCTTATGTAACGTCTGAATTGATCTTCATGATGTACAGAATTAGCCTTTTCAAAGTATAATTCTCACTCACCTTTTCAAACAAATTCATGTCATGATAAGGGACCTTTTGCTGTGGCCTCCTAAAGCTTCAAGGCATTTTCCTTATCTGCAGTTTTTTGCTTCCTTTTTTTTTATTGGGTTTTTGGCAGATAAGGGACTTTCATATTGCTGAGAGAGAGGAGGATATTGGTTTCTATGCAGGATTTGTGGGTAATGTTTGCTGCTATTTCACGCCTTAACTATACTTTTTTTGTACGGCTAGTGTTTATTATGAGAGTGCTGGCTAAAAATTGTTTTGTCTCCCCTACTCGTCTTTCCTCTAGGATCTTCATTTATGATTGGAAGAGCATTAACATCATTCTTTTGGGGGTTGTTAGCTGATCGATATGGTCGGAAACCTATTATATTGATAGGGACCTCTTCAGTGTGAGCAGTTTTAAAACTTCACCATTCAGAGTTCTATCATTGAAGAAATTACTCTTGTGCATTTTCAAATCTTATTCATCTGAAACTGTTGTGTTTGTGTGGATAATAATTTTTGTCTCAGGGTTGTGCTCAATGCTCTGTTTGGCCTCAGTACAAGCTTCTGGATGGCACTTTCTATGAGATTTCTTCTTGGATGTTTCAATAGTCTACTTGGCACAATTAGGGTATTCGCATTGCAAATGCTGCACTCATGCACATACGTTCAAACACATAAAACATATTTCTTAGAAACATGTATCTCAAAGTTTTTGTGATAAATGACAAAGTTTTAATTATACTGTTTCTGTGCTCTGCAACCTTATTGGCGCTCTAGGCATATGCTTCCGAAGTCTGTAGAGAAGAGTATCGATCTGTGGCTCTCTCAGTTGTAAGACAATTTCTTTGGCAGTATTTTATGGTTGTGGATGCATCATTTAAAGTAAACATTCTCAACTGGACTACCAATTTCAGGTAAGTACATCGCGAGGCATAGGAATGATTATTGGCCCTGCTATTGGAGGTTTTCTTGCTCAGGTGGGGACATTTTGGGTGAAAATATATTGAATAATTAAATGGTTTTCAGTGGCACGATCCTGGGTACATTTTATAGTTGGATTTTTGGTTAACATATGGTAGAGCCAGTGCACCACATCAGCTATACTTTGCTGCCTAGTTTGGGTTGTTGGTTAAGTTTTATCATACAGATGTTCAAAAGAATTTTAAAATGGTGCCTGCTCAAGATATTGTTGTGTTTGAAAACTTCTGTGATTGTCGATTGTACCAGTTGCATACTTGTTTCACTGTAATTATTCTTAGATTGATAGAGAAATAGGGCTTAAGTAATTCTTCTCAAATTATTTGCAGTGCCTCTAAATTAACTACAGGCAGTGGTAATGTTCTATTTTCAGTTCGCAAATATTGGAAAATCATCAAACATGAAATATTAGAACTCTTCTTGGTTGATAATATTCTCTATACCCACTCTATGAGCTCAACTTAGCTCATTTGAAGGTGTAAGATATACCGGAAGGCTACTTAATCAGTGGATAATGAACTTGTCACCGCTATTAATTGAGACATCAATAACACTTGCTCTGTAAAGTCTCTCAATGTTTTGAGCTCTCTTAAATCTTAATGATGCAGTGCCAGTGACATGATGCAGATGCTGCTTGTTCAAAAACATTTAGATATAGTCGTATCATTTGGGTCTAAGTTGTGTAATCAAACGCTTCAGCATATGTTTAATTTATCATAAGTCAAGTGCATTAATTTATCAAGGACCGTGTCCTGTTTATTACTACCCAAAATCACAAATTCTTTTTTCTGTATGCTTCTTGGTAGATGTTAGAAGTTTGTTTCCTGAATTTCTATTTTTTTTCAATTCCTAAAAAAAAGTTAGAAATCATGATTCCAGGATCCATTCATTTTTCTTCTTTGTTTCCTTCTTCCTTCTTTCTTCTTTCTTTTGAGATTCTTTAACATTCCTTACTTATTTTGTGGGGGTGTATTGATGGTATCAGCCTGCAGAAAATTTTCCAAATCTATTTGCTGAGAGCTCAATTTTTGGGAGGTAATCAACATTTCTTATTCAGTTACTTTTTTTTTTTTTTAATTCCATCAGCTTTTTATTTCACGAAGATTCTATTCTTTGTTGCTTAGTTAATTTAGTTCTGACATATGCATGCATATTGCAGGTTTCCCTACTTCTTACCCTGCCTTGTAATATCAGTTTATGCTGTGGGAGTTTTGGTAGCTTGTTGGTGGCTTCCTGTAAGTTTCAATAGGCACCTGACCATTATCTTTCATCATTGGACTGATATTTAGTGCTTTTGAGCTTTCTCGAGTAGCAGCCCATGGCATCATTTGGAATAGTCTTCTTTGATTGAAATAAAAGAAAGAAAACGAATAGAGGACCAAGGTTTTCATCCACACTGTCATCATTACAAATGTAGTGCACCTTCAAGAGTTACAATCTTTTCTCCTCCCACGTCCCACATGTTGTGCCACTGACGAGTACTCTAATCTTCCTAGACATATCCACTGTTCATCACTTATGCCGAAGAGCCTGTTCTGCAATGTGTGGTATCTTTATGACAAAAACAACAAGATGATATTGTATTTGTTGATGTTATCTGTTCAATCTAGATGGTTGTTTATGTTGCTAAAATAATCTCCCAAATTCAATCTCTGATTAAAAAAATGAAGAAGATATCTACTCTAAAGTGCATTATATTTCCGGCTGTTTTACAACCTTGGTACAAGCATTATGTTCACATGGATGTTGATAGCAGCAGTGTAGTTTCTTGGTATAGTACCTAACAGAATATATATAAATGCAGGAGACACTGCACATGCATGACAAAAAGATAAGCAAAAGATGCGATTCATGTGATGTGTTGGAAGCTTCCGCAGAGGAATCTGATGAAAAGGATTATGTTACTGAAGTCAAGGAAAGAAAAATATCCCAGAAAGCAAATCTGTTGAGGAATTGGCCCTTAATGTCTGTCATCGTTGTGTATTGTGTTTTCTCTCTTCAAGAGATAGCTTATGCTGAGGTAAGTCGGTTTCCTTTCAGTTTAACTTTGCATTATTATATCGAAAATTTGGATGAATGCACATGTTGTTAGTTCTTTGAACCTTTTTAGCCCTGACATCACTGAAAAGTCTGGTAGGGCTTTGAAGCTCTGGTTTGAAGTACTTATTTTCCCTCCATATGCTTGGGTGTCTTCATCATAGCTTAAAAAAGCATGTTAACTTTCACATGTCTCTATCATAGATTGACAAAGCATATTACCCTTGCATTTTGAACCATATTTACTTTTACATCATTGAAAAAACCTGAAAGGGTTTGAAGCACTAGTTTAAAGTTTTACCATCAAAACTATGTCTTCATCCTTTATGGCTCCTCGTGGATTAAGAGATGAAAAGTATTCATCTACAATGGAGAGACATAGGAGTTTCCATCTAGACACCATTAAACAGGCTCCTAAAACACTTCTCTGGCTTTTATGGTTCTTTTGATTTATGCATAGAAAACCTAGGAATCAACATCTTTTTCCAAAATATGTTATTTGTTTGTAGTATCATTATACAAGTGGTTTAACTTGACATTTCGATTTTGCCTACAGATATTCTCACTTTGGGCAGTTAGTGACAAAAAGTATGGAGGGCTGAGCTTTTCGTCACAAGATGTTGGTGAAGTTCTAGCAATTTCTGGTGAGCACGCTCATGTATATCATTTATGGTTGTCTTGTCACCATGTGCTGCTACATCTCAATATTGTAATGGCAATAAATAATAAGATTTTGTGGATTAGTCTGCTGTCATAGCTAGTAGCATTATTCTCATAGTTGTTATTCTTAGTGTGATGCAAAATTATAGAGCTCCTAGAAATTTATGAGTTAAGCTAATGGTAATGGACACTCCTTGAGGGTAGCTTAGAACCATAGAACAAAGACGGAACAGATACTTTAATTGATCACATTTTTTACAGCTTGCTGCTATACTGCATAGGCTTCTTACGTCAAAGGGGGTCTTTGAAGACATTTGCTGATATTTTTTCTTGTGTGTTTAGGGTTTGGTCTCTTACTGTTCCAGCTTCTATTGTATCCACCAATTGAGAAAGTATTTGGACCTCTTACGGTGACACGCCTTTCAGCGGTAAACCTTCATTTGCCTGTTTTGTTTTGGTAATTCTATTTAATCCTTTCAATGTAAAATTAATTAATGATTTTCTTTTTCAGGCTGTATCAATACCACTGCTAGCAAGTTATCCTTATATAGCTATGCTCTCAGGAATAACCCTGCATTTAGTAATAAATATTGCATCCGTCTTACGGAATACTCTATCTGTAAGAGCGTTTTTCCTGGAAAGTCTTCTGTAATTTTTCGCATTTTCCTAACGTTCTCAACTGAATTTTGGACTCAGCAGAATACATCCTTTCACGCTCATTGTAATTTTGGTTTCAATAAAATTACTACCATAGAAGATTTTAACTCTCTCTCTTTCTTGCTTCTCTCCCACAAATAATATTCTTGTTTGTTTTGATTTTACTGTGAAATTGATCTAATTTTACAAGCCGGCTTGTTCAATATCGTGCAGGTGACCCTTGTCACTGGATTATTCATATTGCAGAACAACGCAGTGGCAAGTTCCAAGTCTTTTGTTTGGGCCAATGCTTCACTTCCTTTTCTCTGGATTATTCTGTTCTTTTTCTTTTTTTTTGGATAATTCACTGGCTCATTCTTAAACTCTGGATGTTGTTGCTGTAGCCCCAAAGTCAGAGAGCGGCAGCCAATGGCATTTCCATGACTGCAATGTCTGTTTTCAAAGCATTTGGACCTGCAGGAGGTGGTGCACTGTAAGTGAAGTGTTACAGTTAGTTATAGATTTGGGTTTTGCATTTAATAATATGTGTGCTTGTCTATTTCCTTGACCTTAAGAATTGCCCGTGTGTACTGGGACAGTTATGGATTTGGCTTTCTGAATATCCTGTGGTAATGACATATGAATGCTATTTTTGTATTAATTCTACAGCTTTTCTTGGGCACAAAAGCGACAAGTTGCTGCCTTTCTCCCAGGTGCTTACATTTCTCCGTCATCTTCCACTTCATGGACCATAAAACCCATCCCTGTCTTTTCTGAAATGTTTGGATAGGCTTTAGCCGTTTGTTGCCTAAAGAACTCTTAACCTCTGGCATGCTACTAGCATATCATTAAATCTTTGCATGTAACGGGAGCCTTTCTGCACCAAGCTGATAAATCATCAAAAGTCAATCTCCTAGTCTTTTAACTAGCGTAGGGAGATATTCATGGTATGTTACTGTAGTGGGTTTTAAGCATCTGATTCAACTCAGAGCTAGGTCCAGAGTAAAATTAAACTCTGCATTTCGGTGGTGAGCTACCCGCATTGGCTCATATTTCATCAGCATCATTCTGAAAATTTCAGGTCTATCTATTTCTTTTCTTTTCTTTTGTCCCCTTGTAAAACCGCATTTTTAAGCTTTACAATATGAGGGGTGAGGTGCTGTTCATGGGCCTCCTGGTCACAAATTATGCCAGTCTTCTATGAACATGTGACTATCCTTGATCGGTACTATAGTCCAGTCTTCTATGAAAATGTGACTCTCCTCGATCGGTACTATAGTGACATTCACCAATCTGTATGGTGTGAATAGCTGTTAAAAACAAAACAAAATGGCTGCTGTTTCCTTGAAAGGTGAGCAATCATACTTGGTTTATTGAATGCAGGTGATCAGCTGGTTTTCTTCGTACTAAACTTGGTCCAGTTCATTGGGTTGGTATTGACTTTCAAGCCATTTCTAGCACAACCCCACGAGTAAAGCACAGTTTGTCGCTGCTGTACCTTCCATTCTAGTGGGACTTGCGTGAAATATGACAAGAATGATTCACAGGATATCTACTTGCACTTTCTGCAACCATAGCAAGCGATTAATTATTGTTGTTTGATGTAATTTTATTGCAAGGATTGAGCTTGTAACCATGCAAGTCTAAGAGTAGAGATATTATCAGGGAATGCTTCAACAGAAAGTAATCCAAGAAGAGCAGGTGAATTTTAGGGATCAGAATACATTTGTATAACTCAATTCTCCGGTTCCTGTTTTAATTCTTATTTCCATCTTCTGAGTAAACCCTAGAAATATCACCAGCAACGAGCTAGGAGAGTGAACCACAGCTGTTGACAGTTTCACACTATCAACGCTGCTCTCGGCATCAGCAAAAAAATTGAGAAACCAATCGGTTGCTTTACTCTCGGTAGCATAACCTACTATTATTTCAGGTAGGGCTGATTGGAAGTGTAGAAATGGTGTAGAGATGGCTATGTTTAAAATGTTTTTCCATACTACAGATATAATTGATTAAAATACAAAATTGGTTGCGAGTAGTAGCGCGCTACTCCTTCTGTAGATTCATTGTTTCTCGTGATCATCTTCAAGATTTGATCACAATATTTTGTTCACGTTTTCGACGTGAGGGATTTGGAAATACGATTTTTTTAATGCGTTAATTAGTTCATTCACGCGCGGGCTTTGATCGTAAATTCTATTATAAATGAAACTTGTTATGTTTGTGTTTGGTGATGTCTTACTTTTTATAATTATTTATAAAAATTATTTTATAAAAATTATTTTTTATTGAATTTTATTTAATATTTATATATGTTTGGTTAAAATTGTGATTAAATTTGAAGTTGAATAAAAAAATAATTAAAAATATTTGGTTAAAAATATTTTTTAAATTAAAGTTGTAAAATAATTTCAAAAAATACATAGTAATATTGATAGTTTTTAATTTAAATATTATAGATCTAACTAATGTTATTATATTATGAAATAAATAATATTTTATATAAAATATTTTTATTATTTTATTAAACTATCTACAATCCTATCACTTGTGAAATACATCTAACAAACACTATAATTTCTTTTTTTTTTAAATGAACAACAATATTAGATAAAATATTATCAAGAAAAAATTAAAATTATATTTTCTGTCTAATTTATCATTAGTGTCATTAAATAATGTTAAACATTAATTTTTTAAATAAAATATAATTAAAAATAAAAAATTATTTTTTTTTATTTTACTGGTCAGATAGGTTGGTAGTTATGTTTTAAAATATATTAAAATAATATTTTTTTATTTTATAAAATTTATTTTTTATATTAATATATAAAAATTTAATTTAATTTTTATTTTTAAAAATAACAAAAAATAACAATAATTTAACCATAATCCAAATATGACCAAACATCATTTAAAAGAAGAAAGCCAGGGATGACTTGACATTGACATATAAAAAAAAACAAATCTATAATAGAGTATAATAAATTATTTTATCTAAATATAAATATCTAGCAACCTATAAATTTAATTTATTATAATGGGTAGAGCTCATAGGAAATAAAAGCTCAATTATTTATTATTAAGACAAGCAGAAAGCATGTGAAAACAGGCCCTAGCTGCTTCTTCGAACTCAATATTTGCAACACAGTAAATAATATAATTCATAAATAGTAATTGTTGTTTTTTTATTTACCAAATATTTAGCTCCTAGTTTTGCTTCAACCGCAACCGCCATCGTAAACAAAAAGGTCATGAGATAACTATTGCCTCAGCGAGTGGTTCAACGGGGACAGAAAATAAAATTTATAATAATAATAATAATAACAGCATTTAAAAGCCAGTTATTTGCATTAATTTTATTCTTCGTAGCTTCACGTAAGGTTGGGTTTTAATGGTTACGAGAGAGGATGTTCTCCTAATCCCCCTTTAAGTTAGATTAATTTTTTTTTATATAAAAAAATATTGAGATTTTACTGATTTTTTTTCTAGTGCAAAAATAAATTAGATTATATAAGAATTAATTTGATATAACTTGGTTAACTTTGCAAATCCAAAAAAAATTCTATACAACTTATAAAAATATAATTTAATTTGACTAAAACAATTTAAAATGATGTTATTTAAATATTATACATTAAAAAAAAAAACCATTTCTAGAAACAATTCATTTACCACAACACAGCACACGCTAATCACGGAGAAAATCATGGAGGAAGAGGAGGTTGGCATCAATCAACTAGCATGACTAAGAAAACTTTTTACCATAAGATAACTCTACTTGCACTTATGAAACTTTGTGGAACCTTTTATGTGCTTCCTTGTATGGGATGTGGCCTAACATGTTTGATTTTTTAAACATTTTTTAATTATAATATCGAATAGTAATTTAATAAATTTATTATGCTAATGTGAAATGTCAAAAAAATCTCTAAAAACTAATTATTATTATTATTTTGCTTTTAAGATAATGAATATATTTCATTATTATAAGAAAGATAAAAGGATATAATTCACAAAGTTGGTTTTTTATTCCATGATTAGCATGTGATGTGTAGTGATAAATGTATCTTCCTCCATGATTAGCGTGTGTTGTGTTGTGATAAATAGATTGTTTCCAGAAATGTTATAGTGGTACAATGAATAATAGAATTGAATATCATAATTACGTTGAAAAGAAAAAAAATCATTGTTCATAGCCAATTGAACTTATATGAACAACATACTCCTAATTATTATAAATAAAACTAAAAAATATAGAAAAACTTATTAGCATCGTGAATTATCATAATAATTCACAATGTTAGTTTTTTTTTCTATAATTATTTTTTAATTTAGTCATTATATGATGTGTTTGTGAAAATTTAGAATAGATAATTATTTTTTTTGTTTTTATATTATAAGTAAAGTTAAAAGGTGTGGAGAAAACACTATTTCCCAACACCTATAGTGTTGTTTTTTTTTTGTTTTTTTTTGCATTTTGCATTTTGATTCAACACCTATAGTGTTGTTTTTTTTTTTTGTTTTTTTTGCATTTTACATTTTGACTCCTTTTTTTATTTGATTATTGATTTTTTTTTTTTTAACCTTTTTTTATTTGATTATTGATTTTTTTTTAACTTAGTCCTTATATAATGTGTTTATAGGGATTTAGAGTTGATAATTTATTTTAATTTGCTTTTATATGGTTATCGCAGTATAAAAAAAATCTCAGCATCAAGTTGATATTAAAAAAATATCTCAACATCACAGTATGATCTATTTTTTAAAAAAATTAGTTAAATAAAAAATAATTTAAAAAAATTAGGTTATTAAACTTTGTAGAGTCAATAACTTGGTTTGCGAGCGAGATAACCCTGGTTACCTCTATTTGTGGGTTTAAAGGGGTATTTTTTTTAAAAAAAATTAAACTCAATTAAGTGATTTTTTTTATCATATAGTTTAAAAAATAATTTTGAAAAAAAATATATGTTATTAAAGTTTGGAAAGCCCATGGGCTCGTTGACGTGTATGAGAAGTTTAACTCTTTATATATATATATATATTCATTTTTTAATTTCATTCTTTCATATTAAACTAATTAAGAATTAAGTTTTATAATTTGTTTTATTTTGTTTTCTATGAAGTTATCATAATCTTAAAAAAATCTTAGTATTGGTTTGACGCTCGATTTTGTGATTGTCTGTTTTTGTTATCATATAGTTAAATAAATAATAGTTTAGAAAAAAACAAGTTATTAATTCAAATGAATTCCATTAACTAATTTGCAAGTTTGACATATTGACTTAAGTTACTCAATTCATGGGTTTCATAGATTTACCCATCAAAGCTAATATGTTTTTTTTAGTTTATGGTCCTTTAATTTTTCTAATTTTTTTTTAATATTTCTCTTTTATTCAATATTAGATTAATTAAAAAATTAAATTCATGATTTATTTTTTTATTTTCTATATGGTATCACGACTTCAAATAAATATCTTTTTTAGAATTGATACTCGATTTTAAAAGCATTCGATGTTATTATAAAATTAAATAAAAAAATTAATAAAATTATTAAATCTGTTAAAGTTTATTATCTAGATTGCAAGGTGACCGAAGTCGATCTAATCTATTATCTCATTATATATATAAAAAATTATTAATTTAAAGTTTTTTTTAAATTATGCTATATTTTTATCTTTATCGGTTATTAAAGTTGTTTTTGAACTCCTTAAATTAAATAATTTATTTTAGATTAGCTCCCAGTTATATAATGTAAAATTTGAGTTAGACAAGATATCTCATTATATATATAAAAAATTATTACTTTAAAGTTTTTTTTTTAAGTTATGCTATATTTTTATCGGTTATTAAAGTTGTTTTTAAACTTTTTAAATTAAATAATTCATTTTAGATTAGCTCCCGCATTATATAATGTAAAATTTGAGTTAGACAAGATGTCAAGTTAATGAGTTTTAATATCAAACTATTTTATTGAATTTAATAATATTACTAAAAAAAATCTTCATTCTCTCAATTCTCTCAATATTACTTTTAAGTATAGATAAAAATAATTCGCTCATTGAACGCAAATAAATATAATTAAAAAAAATTTAATTATCAAAATTTTAAAAAACTCACTGTTCATACCCAATTCTTGATCCGGATCTTATTTTAACGATGCATATTCAATTCTTAAAGTATATTCGGTAATATTTCCATGAAAAACCGAAATAAAACTTCTACCATATCTAATATGTTATCTGTTAGCGTAAGTCTCTTCCTCCTCCTAGCGTTATCCATTATTGTTTCTCCCTAATCTCCCGGTCCTCTGCAGCACAATTAAACTATCGATCCCATTTGACTACGTCAGTTTTGTATCGCTACCACACCAATCTCCCCTCCGCACACACGTTTCTTGTTATTTTATATAAAAAAGTGAAAAAAAACCTGTATTATTATCATACTGTAATATATTTTGACCATCGTCCAACAACAACTACCTTTTTTCTTCTTCTTTTCATTTGCTGATTTTGGGTTAACCTTAGATCTGTACTGTACGTGGATTAAAGGCTAGAAAGTCTTAGTAATGGGAAATGCAAACGGTAGAGAGGAAGGGGAGAGAGACGACGGTGAAGGGTTAGAAAACGGTGAGGAGTCGTCGGTGATTGGAAGTGGGGCGTCGAGTACACGGACGTCGGTTTCAATATTGGCTACTAATGATCATAACCATAGAAATAATATTCCTCCTGATCATGGTCCTGCTCGATCCTCATCGCCTTTCTTGTTCGCTCCACAGGTATAATAATAATAGTTTGATTGAAAAAGTATCGAGTTTTAATTCAAAGTTTATGTCTTTACTAGCATTGGATGATGACGGGGTTCATTAAGATCTGTAATAAGGAAGGAAGAGGAAGCTTGTTGGTGACGAATTGACTTTTGTAATTGGATTGTAGGCATCTTGAGAAATAAGTTTCTCGTTTTGTTTGTAATTTTAAGGTTTTTATTAAGGTGGTTTAGTTCTTTTATAAAGTGGGTTTGATTTAAATTTGATTCATCTCTTTTAGAATGTTTGATCTTTGTGAAAGTATGTTTCAATAACTGAAAGTTGTGATCAATTAATTATGAAAGAAGGTTATTAGGGGCTGGGGTGCGGTTGAGTTTAGCCGAATGTGAACTGAAGATTCTATCCTGACTAGAGTTTTTAGGAATGTTATGTGATTTGGGAGCTTCGTTTGTTTCTGTTCTTTAGATGTCGTTATTGAAATTTTGGGAATCAATAGTGACTGAGATATGCAATTCTGGATATGTAAGCTGGTGATCTACGAGTTTATAGTACTAGATATGTTTGTTTTCTATGAGGCATATGCAATCTGAGTGTGATGCTGACACAGTCTGTTTTAGTGTTGGATTGGGTTGATTTTAGCTGCCCAATTACTGTTTTTATGTGTGAGAATGTGTGTAATTTATCTGGCGGATAGCTGCAGTCTAGGTTTATTTCTGCTTTCCATTTTTGTACTTGGTGAGGAATCTAAAGGTTAAACTTGCTCTACGGACTGGATGGTGGATTGTGTCCATGCATGTAATAGAGCTGTAGCTAATGTAACTGCTTCTGAATTGTGTGTTTGCAGGTTCCTGTTGCTCCCTTGCAGAGGCCTGATGGCCCCCCTTCTTTTGATCAGATGTGGCAGAATGAGTCTCCTGAGGTTGGTGATGAAGGCCAACCCCCTGAGCAAGGAATCCCTACAATTATCACATGGAACTATGGAGGAAACGATGTGGATGTTGAAGGATCGTGGGACAACTTTACATCAAGGTAAGGTTAAGCCACTATCTTTAAAGACAGAAGATGACAAGGGAGTATTTGTTGCTTCTGAGGAAACTTATATGATATCATTTATTGTTCTGCTGCAGGAAAAAGTTACAAAGATCTGGTAAGGATCATTCTATTCTTATGGTCCTCCCACCAGGCATATACCATTGTAAGTTCATTGTGGATGGAGAGTGGAGATATATTCCAGATCTTCCTTTAGTGACTGATGAAATGGGCTGTGTATGTAATCTTCTTGATGTTCATGTAAGTATCTTTACATGGCTCTTGGCCTGACAAATCCAGAAGCACTTGATTGTTGAAATTTTCACTAGTGACAATGATTTTTGAAAATAAATGAGCACAGAATCATGGTTTTTGAAGGGATATGCTCAAGATGCTTTTGAAAAACTGGGAGTTTTATGCAAACCATGGATTGGGTGAAGCCATGTGAAACATGTCTTTTATGTTCCATATGGGAACTCAAATCCTGCTTCCTCTACATTCAATATATATAACCAAGATTTTGCTTGATATATATACTTTTCTAATATTCATTTCCGAGGAAGAAAATAATGAAGTTTTTTCTTGGACCAACAAAACATTTTTTTAATGCCTTGAAAAATTGCAAAAGCATGCACGACTCAATTTCTAAGTTCCTTTTGCTATTTCTTGCAGGATTTTGTGCCTGAAAACCTTGACACTGTGGTTGATTTTGAGGCTCCACCATCTCCAGACTCCACTTACAGTCAAGCATTTCCAGCTGAGGTCGATTTTGCAAAGGAGCCTTTAGCAGTTCCACCGCAGCTACATCTAACAGTCCTTGATGAAGCTTCTTCTTCCAAGCCTCAACATGTTGTGCTGAACCACCTTTACATTGAGAAAGGTTGGGCATCTCAGTCTCTAGTTGCTCTTGGACTTACTCATAGATTCCAATCCAAGTATGTCACTGTTTGCCTTTTTAAGCCACTCAGAAGGTAGCTCCCTCCCACTTTCCATCTGTGACTGTGAAGGAATCACTTTCACGATACAGTTCCTTTTGGGTTTTCTCTGTTTATAGAATTACTCAAGCTTTACATGTTATATGTTGTAGTTAAATTTTCTTTCTTTCAAGCATCCCTCAATATTATTATCAGGAAGGTCCACACAGTTTAAAAATGAGTTATATACATTAGTTATCAGATTCTTTTACTGGAACCGTTGAATGCAGTCCTTTAGTGGAGAGTGGCGTTCAGTTTCCAAGGTATGAGCTACCTTTTTTTCAGTCAGACACTATCAGTCTGCTGTGCAAGTTCTGCATTTAGTTGATGATGGTTACAACTGATGTGCGGTGCTTATTGAATTTGCGCTAGTGTAAAGTAATAAAGTGCCCTACCAGCTCATCAAAAGTTGTTCTTTCCTGAGCTTGGATTATTTCACTGCCGGTTCAACTCATTACTTTACATCCAATCCAGTCAGCTTATTTCACACCATTTCAAGTTATGGTTTTTCTTTTCAAGAAATAGAATCTCAGCCTCCCAGGAGCATCAAGGAGACCTGGCATATCTATCTGCACGTACTTATTGCAGTGAAAAGCCATGATCCTAGAAATAACGTCTGATGTCGAAAATAACAGGAACAGTTGATCCTGATTATTAATTCAGCTGTGATTTGTATAGTTTTTCTGCAATTAGCTGATCATGTTGGTTCTGCAAATTGCGACTGCTCAGCAGGCAGTTCGAACTTGAAGACGGTAGAGAATTATTGTGCTATTTGTATTTGGATGTCTTATTTGTTTATTTATTGGTGCTTGGTTTCTACACTTTTAACAACTTAGTAATAATAATTTCCTTTTATTTTCCATATGAATAAAATTACTAATGTGGCCTTTTCACCTTTTTAAGGATCATGTAGAGTTATTTTGGTAATTAATTACTAATATAGCCCTTAAATAAAATAATTCAATTTTTTTGTACAAGATGTTTTTGTATTTTTACATTTAATAGAAGAACAACAAAATTACTACATTTGTAAGCTTTCCTTTATTTTCTCTTAAATTGCATGTTGGTCATGCAAAAAGTTATATCAGCCCGTTAATTTTTTTTTATCCAATCATTTTCTTATCTGTAATTGTTTTATTTTATATGGATTATTTTTAATTATTTTTTTCATGATTATTAATACTTAAATACAAAATAATTAATAAAAAAAAATCAAGTAATGTTGGAGCTATTAGGCCAGGATTGCCTGCTAGATCCAAAATGAAAAGCCCATGCACATCTATGACTTGAAGCCCAGACCTCACTTCTCGTTTATTATTATTATTTTTTTAATAGTAAACGTCATATGCTTGTGTTTTTATTTATTTATGTATTTTAATGAGAAACACGTTATCCACCACCTTGGCAGAATAAATGTCTAGCATTTTTCAGTCAATCAGAAGATTGAGGTTCTAGTTTTTTGACCTAAAAAATTTATTTTCATTTAAAAATACCTCAAATATATAACCCCTTTTGTGTATTTATATATTGTTTTTTAATTTTATGGAATACATAATAATGTGAGTATTTTGGACAAAATATAGATTAAGAATCCGAGTAAAAAACAAAAATCAAAGAGAGTGATACTGCCATTCCTATTTCAAAAAAAAAAAAAAAATTTGTTTCTAACCCTTCAGCACGCGAGCCCTGAAACCATATCGACTGCTAGTTTCAGTGATAAATAAAACTATGGCAAGATTATTTTAGAGCCTAGCACTGGATCAGAAACAAGCATTCTTGAGAATTCTCTCTTATTCATAGAGAAACAAGGGAGAAGAAACTCCCTCTTATAACACATTACAGCATTTTTTTCTCGGGCTTATGATTATTCACTCCACCTATATTGCTGCCTTCCTTCGAGTCCCTTCTCATTTTTCTTTTTCTGTACATCAGAAGAATCCAAATCATCAGCTTCTTTAGGGGAAGATGTGAAGAAAAAGCACCCAGTTATTAGCTATCTGTTGCTGATAATCAAGTAATGGTATCTTTGAGAACACCATTTTCTTTTACTGGTCCAACATCTTCACGCATGTTTTTGTTAATTTAGCTGACGAAGAACACGTCGCAAGCAAGGTTCTATACAAACCATGACTCTCTATCCCTAAAATATACCTCTGGGCTGTAAGGGTAAAAGGGTCAAAGGCAAAGCCAGGAATTTTGTAAAGTTATTCCTAATTCCGCATCCTTCTAGGGTATTGTGAGGTAGAGAATTTGTTTCATGGCCCGCCCCTTTAAGAAGAGGGTTTGTGTGTGAAATCTTGCTTATTATCAGTAAGACCAAGAATCTAGAGATACAGCAAGTAAAGTTCTGGTCTAGCTCCCCTTGTTCCCTTCCTCCACACCTGGATTCACACCTGGATTCGAACTTCACCATGCACGCCTGTTCCCCCACGATGCTTTACCTACTCCCTGGGCTTGCAGGATGTTCAGTAGACCATGAGGATTAATCGTAGTGCGCGTAAGCTGACCCGGACACCCCACGTAAATCAAAAAAAAAAAAAAAAGTGTGTGAAATCTTGCTTATTATCAGTAAGACCAAGAATCCAGAGATACAAGGATGGAGGCCAGGCAACAAGTAGGATGGTGGCTGCCTGTGCTGTCTGGACACCCATGACATGATTAGAGAAAACTGTAAAATAAGTTTTAAATAGGCAAAAAAAAAAAAAAACCCTCCAAAAGATGCTTGCAGATGAATTTGTCATCTTTTAGGCCCAGTTAAAGAGGGAAACCGGATGGTTATTCTTTGCTGATTGAACAGCTAGTGCAGTTGTCCAACCATGATTTAAGAGATATGCTCGTGAACTTCTATAATTCAAAATATTTACGGTGCTTACAAAATATAACCAGTAGTTATATCCTATAAGTACTCTCTAAACTTAAGGACCCACCAAAAATGACAAGATTATTTATATATTTCTTTTCCTTTAAAGTGGCATAAAGAGTAACTATTTGGGTGTCACTAGTTGCTGTTCGGGCACTATAAAATTTCTCCATCTCTAGGGATGCCAAGGTGAGAGGCAATGCAATTAAAGAATCAGACCACATGCAGCTAAATTGGTTCATTGACATCTTAATTATTACTGTTAGATTTAACAGATAAGCAATAGCATGTCTTATTGCTACAGCAAGTTGGATGAAATAATGGCCAAAGATACAGCACATAATATGTTCAAACAAACCACACAAAGAATGGAATCAAACAAAAAAGTGACACTGAAGTTTGGAATATTAACAAAATTAGTCACCCATAAGCAAAATCATCCAATTCTCCCAAAAGTTCTATGTTCATAATACCAAAGGTAGAAAGAAAATGCCAAACATCAATGAGATGATGCTAACAAGCCAAGCTACTGGACAAGAAACAGAGCAAACAAGTAGACATTAAAGAAACGCGCCACAAAATAATGCAAACAACAGAACAAACAACCCAGCTGAAGCTAATAACACCAAATGAAGATGTCCTAATTGGGAAATAGAATTCTCATCAAACTTATTTGCCCTGTTTCTCTTTTTTTGTTTTTATGCATTTGGTTTTTAGGTTTTAGGTGAGTAAACCTCACTTGGCCATCATGACTTTCACAAATTCTTCGTAGTTGATCTGACCATCACCATCCACATCAGCCTCACGGATCATCTCATCAACTTCCTCATCTGTCAGCTTCTCCCCAAGATTTGTCATGACATGGCGCAGCTCAGCGGCAGAAATGAAGCCATTCTGGTCCTTATCAAAAACTCTGAAAGCTTCCTTGAGCTCCTCCTCAGAATCAGTATCCTTCATCTTGCGGGCCATGAGGTTGAGGAACTCAGGGAAGTCGATGGTACCATTCCCATCAGCATCGACCTCATTTATCATGTCCTGGAGTTCTGCCTCAGTTGGGTTTTGGCCCAATGAACGCATCACAGTCCCAAGCTCCTTGGTAGTAATGCAGCCTGAGATAAAATCAATAACAATTATTGTATAGCTAGCACTAAACCTCATCAAGTTCAAATAATGAATATGATTCCAAAAAAGTCCGGCGTGGATGTGTGAGCAGAGGGCGGACCAAGATATGCAACCCTCAACAAATTGCAGGCAGTATCATTGAAACAAAATACACGAATCATTCATAAAATAGAATCAAGATAAAAGCAGAGCAAGTTCCAACTTTAATCATCATTTTTATAGCTCCAAGGTGAGAGCTATATTGAAGAGCCAAAATAGCATTTCTAAGTTGAATAGCTATTCCTACATGTTGGTCAAAGGAGCTAAGAGTTTATTTAATATATTTTTATGCAACAGGGAGGTTTTGATTGGAGTTGCATTAGAATATCAAAAACATTAAAATACAATTGGCTTTTCTGAATGGTTTTTTTCCATTGGAGTGCATATATGAAAAAAATGCTATATCTACAGTATTCAAAAAGCCATATTACCAATTTGGCTCTTCTAAATAGCTTATCCCATGTTCCCAAACACAAAAATATGCCTGCAATTCCGATTGCGATTTGCCAATGCAAGTTTTCTACAGCTTAATCTAGACATTAACAGATCATTCCTAACACCATTTATTAACCTACATGATTCCACCCAAATTTATTCCTTCAATTAAAACCCATCATTTCCCTCATTAAAAACAAACAAACAATTCGGTCAACCCGGCCCGAATCATAACCCCGGAAATGATCCAAAATCTAAACAAACACAGATCGCGATCAAAACCTAGCACATTTCAAAACAGATCCTCAAGGAAATAAAAGATAAAAAAAAAAAAAACAGAAAAGCTGCCATACGACCAGTCGAAATAAATAAAACGCAGAACAGCCACAGATCAAGCTAAGAAACAGCAAAAGCGGCACCAAAACGGTAAAATAACAACGGAAACATAGTTAGATCTGAGAAATAAAGAAGTGAAAAAAATAAAAGAAAAGAGAGATACCATCGCCGTCCTTATCGAAGAGGCTGAAAGCTTCCTTGAACTCGGAGATCTGGTCATCGGTCAGCTGATCGGCCATCTTTGTTTGGAGAGAGAGAAAATATCAGAGAAAATAAAAACAGTAAGAAATGATTTAAATCAAAGAGGATGACAATATCTGATGGCTGGCTCGCTGCCTCTTTTAGCTTTGATCCGACTCAGCGTGAACGTCTTTGCTTTGATCTGACTCTGGCTTTGAAAAATAAATAGGCAGAGGAGCAAGCCAACGGGGGCCCTTTTTTTTAATTTAAAGTTAAAGTGCTCTTATTGGTGGTGTTCCGCATCTGATTCCCTCTCTTCCCCACGTGTAACCCCTTTCGCGTCTTTTTTTTACCGTTTTACCCCTTACTATTCTTCCCTGTCAGCTTCCCGTTTTCGGATAAACAATGAGTCGACCCGAGGCTTGAGTTGATTGATTCGCATTAAAAATATATATATATATATAAAACAAATTTCAATTGATTCGGTCAAAAAAATCAAATTAATTTGATGACTTAGTGTGGTATTGTTTGGAACTGATGCAAATGGTGTTTTATAAAAACTTAATGTTTTGTTGTTAAAAATTAATTTTTTTTTTTGTTTTGAATTATTAAAAATTATTTTTAAAAGATAAAAAATTATTATTTTAATATATTTTAATATAAAAATACTTTAAAAACAATCACAACTATATTTCATTTAATTATTTAATTGACTTGATAATCACCACTCAAAAATCAGCTAATAATTCTTTAATTTTTTTATTAAAATAATTCTTATAATTAATTTATTTTAGTTTATATGCGAATAAAAGATGTTCTATTTAATATTTTATCGAATACCTCTGGGTCTTAAAAATGAATGAAGGAAATTATTTTCAAAGTTAAGATGATTTTATGCATGGCAGAGAAGCAATGACAAAGTTTAGAAGCAAGTTCAATCTAATTATTATGAAATAAATTTAGAAACAAAAATAATGTAGTTATAGATTTAGTTTATTATTTACCGTGACGGTGTAATAATTTTTTTGTTATTTAAAAAAAAAACTTAAGGAATTTGTTTTTAGGGGTAATTCGTATTTTATATGGTTTGTTAGTTGTTATAAAATTCACCAGGGAAAACTCCATCTTTTTACTTTTTTTTTAGCACAATACAATTGCTCTTGAAAAAATTAATAAGCTATAGTTTAAGGTTATTTTTGCTTTTTCCTTATTGTTAGCATAATACAATTAAAAAAATATTTTTTAAAAAATAAAAATCTAGATGCTATTTTATCTTTTAATTTTGTTTTTACATATGTATATTGGCTCGAGGGCAATTTAGTATGCTATTAAATATAAATATTATTAAAAAAAATTAACTGATACGTGTAATATACGTGTTAGTATATGAAGGCACTTTATCATTTTTAAATAACATATGCAACAACTTTCAATGAGCCTTTTTTATTTGGTTGAAATCATCTTAAGAGGAATCTTTTTAATAGCAATATATGTGGTATTTTGATTTGTGATTTGGTGATGATAAACTATCCTTTTTTTCTCATTCATTTCTCTTTCCACCTTGCTTCCTATACATGTTATTTTCAAAGCAACCCTTCAATTTATTTTTTTTTATATAAATTTGTTTTATATTTTTTTTATTGCTACTTCTTTTATTTGAAATGTTTTCTAGATTTGATTTTTTATTCAATTACATTCTCCTTTAATTTTTTTATCTAATATATTTTATTCTTATTTTTTTAATTGTTATTTTTCTTGTTTTAGATAATTTTTAGATTTGAAGTTTTTTTTATAATTTCATCCCCTTTTATTTTTTTTCCTATACTATTTAATTCTCATTTTTTTAATTGTAATTTTTTTTTATTTTAACAACTTTTTTTTAATTTAAATTATTTTCATGATTTCATCCTTTAATATTAAATTGGTCAGGAATTAAGGTTCTTGATTGAATCTGGATTTAAGATTTCTTGAGTTACGAGTTTGAAAGATTAACTCAATTTTAGAGGATTTACTTGGGCTCGCCTTTTCTTTTCTTTTCTTTTTTAGGCTAATGATTTTTTAATAGCATTTATTTGTTTTGCAATTTCATCATTCTTTAATTTTTTGTTTGTTAGATTTAATTCACATTCTTTGTATTGCTATTTGTCTTGTTTTGATTAATTTTTAGAATTGAAGTTTTTCTTTTTTTACAATCTCACCCTCCTTCAAATTTTTTTTCAAGTGTGATTGGATTAATATTCTTTTTGTTGCAATCTTTTTTTAGATATTTTTTTTTTATTATTTCATCCTTTAATATTAAATTAATTAGAAATCGAGCTTCTTCATTAAACTCCCATCGAGGATTCCACGAGCTGTGGGTTTGAAAGATTAACCTATCTTTTCAATTCACTCTCTGGATTATTTTTTTGTGAACTAATCCTTTGACATTATGTTGTTTCATATTTGAGCTCTAGGTATGAGTTAAAATGGTATTTTTTTTTAATAATTGGATCATCATTTGAGGATTTTTTTTAAAAATAAATAAGCATAGTAAATTAAAAAAATTGAAGGAATAGCACAATTAAAATTGTTTTTGGTGAAATAACACAATTTATATATGTCACGATTGAGAAACATGACATTTATAACTTGTCACTATTTAAAATAACAACATCCATAAAAAAATTATTAAATGGGTGAGAGAGAGGAGAGAGAAAAAAAAGTTCATGAAGATAGTGAAGCTCTGATCACGACACTACCAATACTATTAAAAATATTTTGATAAAATAAATTCAATGACACAAAAAAAAAAAGTTATTAATAATAACTCGAGTGAGACAAATTTGCCACCAAAAATAAATGAGGCACCCACCTATCAGTATAATACATTAAATTATTACACCAAACCCAACCCATGTTCTTCCATGTAAAGAGATGAAATATGAGCCTTATGCATGTTGGATTCAAAATGTTGAAAGTAATTGTTCTTTTTTATAGGTCTAGACAAAACGGCTACATCTTGTTTATGAATTAATACTTTATATTAACTTCATATTAGATTGAATAATTATTATATAATGGTCGACGTGTTATAGCTAATCTTTAAATAATGATGATGAACCTGCACATCATTATGCATATTCTTAGTTCAAGATATGTCGTACTACATTTGACCTGTTAGAAGAGATATTGATCTTAAATGATGTTGTCTTAGAAGATGAAATCATATGGGCATGTGAAAGTCATGCTATTGATGAAGCCAACCCATCCACTTGTCAGGTAGAAGTCACGCTATTAAATATTTTGATATTGAATAAATGTTGAGAAACGAATGTATCGGTTGATGTTGGTAAATGATAAACAATAATTATTTGTGTTGATATTAGTAAATGATGAGAAATAATTACTTGCATTGATATTTATTTTTTTATATTGATAAATATTGAAAAATAATTATTTGCATTGATATTGGTAAATGATAAGAAATAATTACTTGTGTTGATGTTGAAGTGTTTTGATATTAATAAATGTTGGAAAATAATTGCATATGTTGATGTTGGTAAATGATGAGAAATAATTGCATTGTTAATATACAAATTTTATGTTGTTGGTAAATGATGAGAAATAATTGAATTGTTGATATTACAACAGGTTATGTAAAATTTTTATTCAAAAGATGATATGTCAACTACTTCTATTGTATGTACATTGGTCATGGATTTAAGGACATCAATTGTCCCCCATATAATTTTTTAGCTTGTTAAAATGCATTATCTAGACCGTGCAATTGCACGAGACAATTTACTTTTAAACAACAAATCTTGTCTGATATAAATACGAGCAATCAATTGTATTTTATTAGTAGTTTAGATAGACATGTTGATTATAATTGAACAATCCACCATCTCTAGTATATATTAATATGGGACGTGTAAAAAAATTTTATTTTTAGAGAAATGAATCTTATAATTTTTGAGGAGAGATACATGGGCTGATATATAAGTATAATACATCAAATCATTAAACCAAACCTAGCGCAAGTTATTATGTTATGTTGTGCTATTTGTTTAGTTAAGAGTTATTTTTATTTTTATTAGTTTTGTAATATTGTTGTAGCTAATTATTATGTTGCTTTTTAATGTTGTTTTAGATGTTATGCATTTTCATATTTATTTTAGATAAGCATGATTTAAAATCATTAATTAATAGGTAAACATTGTGAACAAATTATTTTAAATTTCAAATCATCTATTTACAAGTTAAAAAATGCATATTGTTATATTTTGTTATTAATATCATCAAGTATCTTTATAATTAATAAATAAAAACAATGTTTAAAGATAACACAAATTAATTTGTGATTATAATTAACAAATAAAAATAATGTTAAAATATCACACTCTTAATTATGGGTTTGAGATTTGGTAATTAATGGTTTGAATTTCAATTGTAGGTTGGTTTTAGGCTAAAATTATGATGTGATAACGTAATTAACCGCTATTTAGATTAGTGTTCGTGTACTGAAGAACTGCTATTTATTGTTATTAGTTGTTGTTTAATAAAGATGCTAATGACAATATATAGCAATTGTTTAAGACAATTGTTATTTTCATTAATAATTTATTAATAAAACAACAATTGTCATTAGCAATTGAATAAACATGTACTATTTCTCTAATATATATTTTTATCATGCGTTAAATCTTGAAATTATTTACCAAATTATGCTAGCTTGGTAAAATACCCTGATATTGAATATGGAGTTGATTTGTGTTTGAATAAGATCTTGATTATTAAAAAATAGCTATCTTCTTGAATTATGTTTTTCAATCTGCTACAAATTAAATCACCCAATGAACAAACATTTTTATTTATGATAGAATCTTTGAAATATATATATTATCAAAAGTCAAATAAAAAAAAGGTTCAAACATCGAGGAGGAAATAAAATTTCAAAGTGTTTTCCTTCTCCTTAAGGGAGCACCTTATAATTTTTTTTTTAGAGTTGATCTTTTTAACCCGAGCTGTGTCCTGATCATCTCTGTAAACAATTCCGTGTAATTTATTGAATTCTATGATGGTGGGAAAAGAAACCCTATGTGCAACGTAAGAGATGGCCGGAAGATCAGCTATATTAATAAAGTAATTAACAGAAAAATTAACAAAGATTAAAAAGACTTCATCAGCCTCAATTCATCAGATTAGTCCTCATCTCACGCAAACAGCTCTAATGTTATTTAACGACTACTAATTACTGCTTGTTCACCT